AATTGAACTGAGGGGCTCTTAACCACTGAGTCACATCCCAGCCCTTTTTTGTATTTTATTTAGCGACAGAGTCTCACTGAGTTGCTTAAGGCCTCACTAAATTGCTGAAGCTGGCTTTAAACTCATGATCCTCCTGCCTCAGCCTCCTGAGCCTCTGGGATTACAGGCATGTGCACTGCGTTTAGGGGTCTTGGGTTCTTAAACAACTAAAGTCAGGAAAATTCAAGGAGCTGGGGAGCAGAGAGTCAGATGTGGAGGAATTACCTCCAGGGATTTGGGATAAGAGTCCAGAAATGGAAACACCAAGCTGTAGGGAGCCAGTTACTTGGATGAGGGAGCCCCTAGGCCAGCATCCAGAGAAGGGTTCTGAGCACCTGGGGACAGAAGAAACTATGGGCCAATGTCCAGGCATCCAAGGCAGAGCATTCTCAGGTAGAGGCTGATGGGCTAAATCCAGGCATGCCCAAGATCATAAAGAAAGGTCATCTGCCCAGGAAGGCAAGGTGATGAGTTTTCATTTTACATTCATTGGTTATCTACCTACACTAAGCTGGGCCCTTTGCTGGATGCTGGGGACTCCAGAGGAGTGGCACAATCCCTGTTCACACCATAAAGCCAGTAAATATAGCATTAAGGAGCTAACAGCACAGAAGCAGGGCAGGTGCTATGATACAGGACACATCTGCTGGGGAAGCCCAGCAGGCAGCAATTAGCTTGCAGTGGGGGAAAGAAGGCTTTGCAGAGGAGGCATCTTGAGAGTGAAGCTGCCAAAAAGAAGGAGTCAGGACATTCCAGGTCAAGGTAGGGCCGTTCACAGGCCTGGCAGCATGGAAAGCTGAGCCTGTTAGAGTAGAGGACAGGAGGAGAGCACAACCTCTGACCTCACAATACCCAGGGCCCGCTGGGCCAGCCTTGCAGACTTTGGCACCCTCTTTCAGCCCGGGCAAGGCCCGGGGCCCTGGGCAGCCTCCAGGTGCAGTGCCCTCCTGTGGGCAGCACCCTCCCTGCTGACCTGGGGCATGTCTCTACTCACCAATTATGAGGGGCTTCGGCATCAGATAGAGAGGCTGGTGCGGGAGAATGAGGAACTGAAGAAGCTTGTGCGGCTCATTCGGGAGAATCAGGAGCTCAAGTCTGCAATCAAGACTCAGGCAGGCGGCCTTAACATCAGTGGGCTCACCAGTGGGCTCGGAGAGATGGCAGCAAGTCCTTCCCAACGCCAGGGTAACTATAAGAGGCCTGGGTCCAAGGACAGTGGGAAGGAAATGGTGAGGCTGCTGAGTGAGGAGAGACTCAGTGTGCTTGGGGTCTCAGGAAACTATGGAGGGAAGGCACAGATAGTAACAAACTTGGGGACATTGGCCCTACTAAGTGAAGGAAGGGAGTGTGAGCACACAGGACCATAGAAATGAAAAGGCAAAACTAGGTCCCCATTCTACTCACTTAAGAGTAGGCATTCCTTCCCTCAACCAAACTTCCAAGCAGCACTGCAAGACATGAATTTCCCAGCTCTGGAATCCAACTGTGCTAGCCTGCTGGGTCCAGTATGTAATGAACCCTCGGCCTTCCCACGCTTGACCCCCAACTCTAGCCCTTAGCCTACCCCAACCCTCATCATTAGCACCCCATTACTCTCCAGTTAGAAATGGCCAGGAAGCACCTAACAACCCACATCTAGAAGCTTTGGAGAGAAAACAGGACTGAAGCCTGAGGTTGGTAACTATTAGCATGGGGCTGGAAATGTACAGAGGAGGGTGAGACAGAAGAACAAGTGAAGAAGTTGCAGGTGTTCACAGAAAAGCAACTGAAGGGATGATCCATGGGCTAGGCCTATGTGGAGACTGTGGTGGGGGTGGCGGGTATTCAGAGGCCAGGAGGCAAGAGAGGCCACAGAACTGAGTGTGGTGACATGGAGGAGGGAGAGCTAAAAGAATGGAAAGCTATGAGCAAAAAATGCTTAGCACTGAAGATACCAGAGGGAGAATTTGGTGGTGGTGATGGGGGGTGGCCATAGGAGTCTGTGGCTAACAGCCTGTGTTGGTAGAGGTTACCAAGGTGGAAGCAGATGATAAAACACTGGTGGTTGTTACATTCACTTTCCTCCCTACAATATCCTTCCTGTCCTGGAGGAAGCTGTGTTCCTTCCTGTCCAATGTAGAATTTCCACATGCACTCAGAGCCCACTCACCCGTGCAGTGACCTTTGCTCTGTCCTGGGACTGTACCTTGCCCTCCCTACCTGGCACTCTCCTCTGTTCATCAGCAGACATGAACTCTTCCTCCTTCCCTGAGAGGAGGACTTTGATTTCTGTTCTCTGCCTATTTAAGCCTGTACAATTTGGCAACAGACTCCAAATGCTGCTGTTCTAGAAAGGCTGTGGGTGGCCTCCTAGGTGCCACATCCTTCTCCACCTCTGCATGACATTTGAGACTAATAACCCTCCTCTGAGGCCCTCTTCCTGAGTTCCCAAGCTGGGTCATTCAACCCCCGCCCTGATTCACCTCAATCCCTGTACTTCAGACGCTGCCAGCCTACCCACTGCACAGCTTCAACACTCCACTGGAAGTAAAGATCCCCTCGGAGGATCCTGCAGGCTAAACAAATCCCTAGAACTTGACTCACTCCAAACTAGACACACTTCTGAAAAGCTGGGCAAGTGCATCAAGACACAAAAGCCCTGCAGGTCTGCGGTCACTTCCCTGCAGTCTTACTCCCCTTCCTCCTACCACTGGGTTCCCTGCCATCCAGCTGGAATTTCATTTCTATAGTGACCACCCTACACAGGCCCCTCCTGTTTTAAATTTTGTACCATTAAGGACTATGAGACAACAGACAGGGTGACAAAAATTATATGCTTGGGAGAAGTACATTTAAGAAACCTCAGTTTAAGAAGTTAAACTCTAGTTTCTTACTTCCAGACTAAACAAGTAAGCCTTAGGTTTGATTCTAAAGGGAATCCTTCAGATCTTCCAAGCTTCGGGTTCAGGAAAGGCTTTCTGCAGGAAAGCAACCCAGAAAGAAGCATTCCAGAAGAAAGACCAGCTTGAAAAAAGGCCTGGTGCTAGAGGTTGCAGGAGTAAGAACTAGATGAGTATGGTTAAAGGTCCGACCGTGTAAGCATGCATGGTCTGAGAGTATGTGGTACTTAAGTTTTGTGGTGTGGGTGTATGAGTGACTGAGGTGTACAGGGTGTGAATATGTGAGTGTGTATGAATGTGTGTGGAAAATATGCAGGAGAACGTGACAGAATGTGGTGTGTGAGCTTTCAGAGTATGTTGTGAATGCATATACGCACAGGGTTATAAGCGTGTATATTTGTGAGCTACTGTATTACAGTGTGGGAATGTATGTGGTGTGGGTGTTCAAGTTCATACATTCCTCATCTCTGATAGTGTGAATGTGTATTGTTTATGTGAATTTATATGGCTGTTCATTTTGGGGAGTATGTGCATGGTATTTTATATGTGTTAGGAACCAGGAAGAGCTGAACAATGCAGTTAGAGAGGTGAGCAGGGGTCAGATCACCAAATACTGTGAATGACATGCTAAAGAGCTTGGACTTTCTCCTAAAGGCAATAAGCAGAAACTTGTGCTTTCTAATGGAGTAATCACATTTGTACTCAGAAAGATCATTCCAGTTGCTATGGAGAAATGGATTCTAGGGAAACAAGACCAAGGCAAGGAGACAGGTTAGACTCGGGCTGTTGCAATCACTTAGGTGGGAGATGATAGCATGAACTTCAAGATGAAGAGAAATCCATTCAAGTTATTAAGAAAACAGAAAACCTAACTGCTTGGATTTGAGGGAGGATAAAGAGAGCATCCAGAATTTGTTGCTTTCCCAGCTAAGATGACTCGATAATGTATGATGTCACTTGCTGAGAATGCAGAACTTGCCATCCCTAGATCCAGCCAAGACAGATCCTTATAATTGCCTCAGGGCATCTTCCTCTAGCCACTTCCTTACCCTGCCTGGTTCCCAAACCCATTCCCATGATGAACCTTTTTCATGGGGTCATGAATCTTTTTCTTGATTCGCTTTCATGAACTCAATCTTCAATTCCTCTTTCTGGGTCAACCCTTCTTCTCCCTTGTGCTCTGGTTCAGGATTCTGATTCAACCCCATTCAAGAGTAACAGAGAAGGAAATGCAGCTTGGGAGGTATGAGTAGAGCTTGGACACAGGGACTTTGGGTGTTCAAAAGCATATGGCCCTTTGTACTGTAGGGCCAAACCCAGAAGGGAAGAGAAGTGCAGAATGAGGGTTGGGGTCAGGGAGTCAGCTTTCCCTAAGCTACCACATCCTGGCCCAGCACTCCAGAAAGCACAAGAATTCTAAATTCAAATATGACCTTCTGGGTTGTTAGAAAAGTTTATGTGTCTGAGTAAGAAACCATAACATAATTTAGCTTGAGTGCTTTCAACTACTCCAAATGTGATATGTAGGCTTCCACTTGTGCTCCTGCCCATGGCCCTGAAAATGCTAGAGGTAAACCTTAAAAAAGCAAATGCATTTTAAAGGAAAACAATGAGCTGTATTTTTGACAAACTGATTTTATGACATCCACTTGAGACAGTGGTAATATGAGCCTGAAGCTCAGAGAAGAGATCAACACAAAAGATTCAAGAGCTGGGCTGGGGCTGTAGCTCAGTAGTAGAGCACTTACCTATCATGTATGAGGCTCTAGGTTCAATCCCCAATACTGCAAAAACAAACAAACAAACAAACAAACAAACAAAAACCCCAAGAGTTGTTGATAATTGAAGCCATAAGAGGGAGTGAGACCACCTGGGAAGAGAGTATACAGCAAGGAGAAACTGAGGGGGCAACTCCTTTTGGATCCCTTCTCATCCTGTGGGAGCTCCATCTCTTTTCTTCTCACTTGAATAAAACCTACTCTTTTATGCTAAAGGAGGCAGCAGGGACTGAATGACTCTGAGGAACAGTCTTGAATAAGGACAGACAGAGATATTGTCAAGGAAGCATTCAGAGAGGCAAAGGAAACTTCAAAAGTTTAATGCCATAGAAGAGACAGCTTCAGAGGGGACCAAGTGTCAACAGGGTAAAAGTCAAGAAGTCAAAAATAGTAAACAATGACTTGGCATCGTGACCTTGGTTAAAGTCATTTCAACCCCATTATAGTTGGGAAAAAGTCACACAGAGTGAGGTAAAGAATAAGAAAATGGTGAGAAAAAAATGATGGTGGCACTTAAGGAAGTTTGGCTTTGGGGGACAGGGGAGCTGGAAGCTGGGTAGAGAGAGGGTAGCAGCGGGAGAGGGGCATGGGATATAGAGCTCAAGTTGGCAGAGATCTGAAGGAACCAGGAGAGAATGTTTGAAAATACACAAGAACAAAAGGGTATTTTACAGGAGATGCCCTTGACTGAAGGAAGAGCATCTCTTCCACTGTCCTGGAAGAGAAGGAAGGGAAACATCAGTGTAAATGGTGGGAAGGGGAGCATCAGGAGGTCAGGGACTGTGGGAACTGAGGATTTCTGGCTTCAGTGATCTCTGTAAAAAAAAGTCATTCTCTAAGACCACTGGTGGGGAAAGTCTGAAATAGAGTGAAGATGAAAAGAGGACTGGGAGGGGAACATGGGAAGTCGGTCTGACTACACAGTGGACTAAATGGCATTAGTTATCTATCAAGTCTACAAAGGCAGCAGGCACCAACCTTGTACCTTCTACAGCATATGGTGGCCTGGGGGCAGCAGGCAGATGGAGTACTGAAGCCAGTCCAACCAGAGCGTAGGCACATTTCAGACTATGCTGTTGAGAGGAAGGTGGAGGTGAGGAAGGTTGTCACAGAGGAGAAAAAATAAAGAGGTCAGTGTACTAGAGATCTGGAAAGGCTCAAGGACCAGGTGGCTGGGAATCATTTTCCAAGCAAGCCAGAAGGTACAACTGTGTGGTCAGAGGGAGCAATCTGTGTGGCCAGAACTCAGTAAATGTTGGTTGTTGGCCAAATTAACTTCACCAAGAAGAAACAGGTGCCAAGAGTCTCAGATCTTGGCGGCCCACTCCTACCTGGGAGGTAAAGCCAGCACAGGAGTCTAGACTGTAGGCCGCCTGGGACTTGCTAAGAGGCCTGCACTGGGATGTCTCTGGGAGGCTGCTGAAGTATCAGAGGGAGAGAGGAAACGAGGTCCAAATGCTAGAACAGTGTGGAAAGCCGGCTCCTGCCCACGCTGGTCAGATCTGGCTCCTCTGGGCAGGTGACAGGTGGTCTGAGTGGCACAAGCCAAGCGGGCCAGACAGCAGTCAGCATGAGCAGGACAGAAAGGGTGGGGGCCTGCCCGGCTCTGGCACCCTCCTCCCCTCCGTCTCCTGCTCCTGCCGGCCTCGGGCACGGCCTCGGCCCGTGGGGCAGTCTCCTCCAGCAGGGGGCAGCCGTAATCCTTTTACCCCCGACCTCCCCATCCAGGACCCGGCCCCACACCAAGACCCTAGGGGCCACTCCTCCGGGAGCCAGGCCCACTCCGGACCCTCCCCGCGGTCTCAGACCCGGCCTAGCAGGGCTGCCTAGAGCCCCTCCCTCAGACATCCCACTCAAACGCGGCCCACAGAGGGCCCCATTGTCCCCGGTACCCTCCCCCAAGAGGGACCCACCCTCCTCAGGAACGCTCCCCACTCGGGACCTCTCCCCCTATCAGGGGCCCTCTCCCCCTCGGGACCCTTCCCCCCCTTGAGACCCTCCCCCTTCGGGGACCCAGACCCTTCCCTCCTCACGAACTCCCCTCACGGACCCTCCCCACCACATTCCCGCAACCGCTGTGGAAACCTCCGCTGGAGACACCTTCGCTCCTCCTCTCCCGGGCCTCCTCGCTTCCCGCCCCCGGCAGCGGCGTCGCGCTAGGACCCGGGCGGCCCCAAGCCGGCCAGGCCCCCTGCCTTGCTCTGGCCCCGCCCCTCGGCCCCTCCCCTGCCGCTTGGCACCGACTCTGCCACTGGACACCTGGCCCCGCCCCAGGACCCGCCCATCATCAAGCTCCGCCCTCAAGGCGTGGTCCCGCCCCTCTGGGCCCCCGCTCCCCGCACAAAGTCCGGGGGTGGTCTCCTGCTGCGGCCCGGCACCGGGGGGCGGCCGACCGGGCGGGAAGCGGAGGGGGCTAGGGGGCCGGGCGCGGCCAGCCAGGTGCCTGTGCGCGGGGAAGACAGGTTGCGGGGGAACCAGAAGTTCCGACAGTCTGAAACGCGACCTACTGCCTTAATCTCAGACATTTGCTTTTATTTTTAAACTCACTTGTCTGACGTGACAACTCTTTCTGGACCCTAAATAATTAAAACAAAGCCGAACGCGGTGGCGCACGCCTGTCATCCCAGCGCTGGGGAGGCCGAGGCAGGAGGATGGCGAGTTCAAACCAGCCTCAGCAAAAGCCACAGCAAAAGCAAGGAGCTAAGCAACTCAGTGAGACCCTGTCTCTAAATAAAATACATGTGGCTCAGTGGCCGAATGCCCCTGAGTTCAATCCCCAGTGCCAAATAATGATAATAATATGAACAAACAAATGCAGCAAATCTGAAGCTCTCTGCAAGGATCTGGTACTGTACTTTTTATGGACTCGCCCATTCTAGGCATTCCGTGTCATCTGGATCATGGCCTTCTATGACTGGCTCCTTTCAGGAGGCGTGTTCCAGCCGGAGTGGGTACTCTGGGTAGAGCTGGGCTTGCGGGGCTTTACTCCGTGATAGGAATGGACTCCGTTTTGTGTGTCCATTCATCAGTTTATGGACTTTGGGTGGCTTCCTCCTCTATGAACGTGCAGGTGTGAGTTTTTGGGCAGTCATGTTTTCCTTTCTCTTCTTGTGTATCAAGGAGTACAATTACTGGGTCCTATGGTAACTTTATGTTTAACTCTCGGAGAAACTGCCAGATTGTTTTCCAATGACTGCATCATTTTATAGTCCCTCCAGCAATGTATCAGGATTCTCATCTCTCCAAATCTTTGCCAATACTTGTAATCATGTGATTATTTTTAATTTTAGCCCTCCTAGTGGGTGTGAAGTGGTATTGCACTGTGGTTTTGATTTTCATTTCCTTGCTAATAATGCTGACCCTGATCATATGCTTATTGGTCATCTGTATGTCTTTGAAAAAAAAAATGCCTATTCAGATAAATTTGACTATTTGGCTTTTTTATATTCATTTTTTAGTTGTAGGTGGACACAATACCTTTATTCATTTATTTTTATGTGGTGCTGAGGATCGAACCAAGGGCCTTGTACATGCTAGGTGAGCGTTCTACACTGAGCCACAACCCCAGCCCTGGACTGTTTGTCCTTTTATTGATGAGTTGTGGGAGTTCTTCATATATGCTAGTTACAGTCTCTTATCAAATATATATCTTGCAAATATTTTCTTCCCATTTTGTGGGTTATGGATTGTCTTTTCACTTTCTTGATGATGTCTTTTAAAACATAATCCGATTTGTTTGTTTCTCTTGTTGGTCTTGCTTTCAGTCCTTTTTTTCTAGTTCCTTAAAGTGTACAGTTAGGATATTGTTGGTGGTGGTGGTGTTGTTTTGGAGTACCAGAGATTGAACTCAGGAGCACTCAACCACTGAGCCACATCCCCAGCCCTATTTCTATTTTGTATTTTATTTAAAGACAGGTTCTCACTGAGTTGCTTAGCACCTTGATCTTGCTGAAGCTGGCTTTGAACTTGTGATCCTCCTTTCCCCAGCCACTGGGATTATAGGTGTGTGCCACCTTGCCCTGTTTACAGTTACATTACTGACTTGAGATTTTTTAAAAATAGGCATTTATAGCTATACAATTCACTGTTAAGTACTGCCCTTGCTATCTCCCATACATTTTGGGGGTTTGTTTTTTGTTTTTGGTACTGGGGATTGAACCCAGAGGCACTTTACCACTGAGTCATATCCTCAGTCCTTTTTATTTTATTTTATTTTTTATTTTGAGTCAGCATTTTGCTAAATTGCCCAGACTAGCCCTGAACTTGAAATTCTCCTGCCTCAGGCCTCCCAAATTGCTGGGATTACAGGCTTGTACCATGGTACCTGGCTCCATAAATTTTGATATGTCATGCTTTCAGTTTCATTTATCTCAAAGTATTTTTAAAATTTCTGTTGATTCTTTAATCTCATTGTTTTTTACTTTTTTTCTTTTAACATTTTTTTTTTAGTTGTCGGTGGACCTTTATTTTATTTATTTATATGTGGTGCTGAGAATCGAACCCAGGGCCTCACATGTAATAGCAAACATTACCACTGAGCCACAACCCCAGCCCCATCTCATTGGTTATTTAAGCGTGCTTTTAGTTTCCACAAATTAGTGAATTTTCCAGGTTTCTTTCTGTTTTTATTTCTGGTTTCATTCCATTATGTTCAGAAACAGTACTTTTATTTCAATCTTTTTAAATTTATTGAGACTTTTTTCCCCCTCATATGTGGCCTACCCTGGAGAATGTTCGATGTGCACTGGAGAAGAATGTGTCTTCTGCCATTGTTGGGCGGAATGCCCCATGTCTGTTAGGTCTATTTTTCTTCTCTTTTCTGTTCCCATTACTGAAAGTGAGTATTAAACTCTACAAGTCTTAATGTAAAAATTGTCTATTTTCCCCTTCAATTTTTTCTTCTTCTCCTCTTCCTCCTCCTCCTCCTCCTCTCCCCTTCCTCCTCTTCCTTCTACCTTCTACTGGGGGTTGAACCAATGATGTCCTTCTTTGCCTTTTATAACAATTTTTATTTAAAATATATTTTATCTGATATTAGTATAGTTACCCAGCTCTATTTTGGTAAGGATTTGCATGGAATATCTTTTTTCCATTCTTTCATCTTCAATCTATTTGTGACTTTTAATATAAAATGAGTCTCGATGTATTGAGTCTTTTTTCAAAAATTCATTCTGCCAGTCTTTGCCTGTTGATTAGAGATTTCAATGCATTTTTAAAAAAAATTCCTAATAAGAGCCAGGTATGGAGGCACACATCCGTAATCCCAGCAGCTCAGGAGGCTAATGTAGGAGGATCACGAGTTCAAAGCCAGCCTCAACAATTTAGCAAGGCCCTAAGCAACTCAGCAAGACCCTGTCTCTAAATAAAACATTTTTTAAAAAGGACTGGGGGGCTGAGTCTGTGGCTCAGCGGTAGTGCACTTGCCTGGCATGTATGAGTCACTGGGTTCGATTCTCAGTACTGCACATAAATAAATAAAAAATAAAGGTCTATCAACAACTAAAAAAGAGATGCACACCTGCTGTTGAATCTCTCTGGGGTATATAGACCAGCTCTGTTAATTACATAATCCATTCCCTGTGCCACTGGTCCTTCTGGACCTGGGTCAGCTACCCCCCTGCCCGGGTCCCTGTGGTTCTTGCGCTGTATGTTCTGGTGCGTACTTTCTGTGACTTGCACCCTTTGTGGTCATAGAGTCTCCTTCTTTATAGTGCTTATTGATTTTATCTGGAATTCAACTTGGACCAAAACTCAGGTTGAGCCATTTCCTCTGTGGAAGTTGGCCAAGGTCTGTCCCATCTCCCTCACCCTTTTGGCCCAGTGACCTACATGGGTCATTTTTCCAGAGGACAACTACCTCCATTTTGTACACAGCCTGTGAATTAAGAACAGGTTTTACATTTTCAAAGGGTTGAAAAAAATCAAAACAAGAATACTGTTTCATAACACATGAAAAGTACATGAAATTCAAAAATTAGGGAACATAAATAAAGTCTTATTGCCACATATCCTTAGTCATTTACTTCCAAATGACTGGTTTTCTTTGGCTGCTTTTGCAGAACAGCAAAAGAACAGCAGACTTGCAACAGAGACCATGTGGCCAGCCAAGTGAGAAATATTTACCAATTGACCCTTTACAGAAAATGTTCTCCAACCCCTGGTTTCTAGAAACATGTCGAAAAAGTCTGCTAGGTAATGGGAAGCTCTTGATTAGGGACTAACCATGGAATGATTGGACTGTCAGAGAGTTTTCCTATTTCTCACTTGTCTGTATTTCCAGTCTTTCCCTATAGTAAGTGTGTCCTATTTTTATGACAATATCAGCAAAGTGGAAGTTTTCACTAAAATTGCATATTATCAAAACCTTGCTGCACTCTACCTCCTTAGCTCTGCACCTCCTCAGGGACTCTCCCCCAAACAGGAGTCATCTGAAGGTGCTCTCCTCCAGAACTCATGGAGAATGGGCTCCTAGGCCCCCACATGAGGGTCCAGGAGTGTAAAGAAAGGAGTCTGGGCCTCTTAGGGTACATGGCAGGGCCCAACATGCATCCCCTATTCAGGTCGTCTGTGCATGGCCCTGGGCTAGGTGAGGCTCTGCGTGTTGCAACACTGACCCCCTAGGGGGTCCTACCAAGTGGGCTCATCTCTCTCCACCGGAGGCCCAGCTCACTCCTCCCCTTCATAGACCAGAAGGGCCACCTTGGCCACCTGAGAGTCCTGCCACTGGGAAACCCTTCTTTCTTGGGTGAGAGGTCAGTGGCTCAGTACAGTGAGAACAACTGAGGGGGAGGGCTGTGAACCGTCCCTATGATCTGGAGCGGGACAGGCAGAACAGTCAGTCTGGGAGGACTAACTAGAGAATCAGGGCTGGACACAAGATGCTAGGGACTGAGAAGGCAGGGAAGACCCGCTCACAGATCCTCCATGGCAGCTGCCCTGGAATCCCCTCAGAGGCAGGGGTACATTGCTCTAACCATCCAGAGCAGTGAGGCTCAGGGAGGTCAAGTCACCAGAGTCAGACAAGCACTTTGGCCAGGCCCTAGAAGGGTAGGAGAGCCCATGACTGCCTCCGTTGCTCCTGGCAGGACTCGCCTGGGGTCTCAGTGCTCTCTCTGTGTCCCCCAGGTGTCTTCCTGCCCCCGTCCCCAGCTGCAGCAGCAAACGAACA